GTTGTTTGTGCAATAAGTTCAAAAATGTAGTCAGCTGAACAGTGTTATTCAAATTGTCTGATGCTCAGCAAATGATTATGTATTTGCTTGTGTGGTTAGATTGTCTTGCAGTCGTGAAAATCTGGTTTATGTACATGTTTGTTCCAAAGCTTCCAGGATGTTTCTTGGAAGTATTAACAATTCCAAAGGCTCAGGGTGTAAGGGTTTCACAGCACAGGCCAAGTGCTGCTGTGGGGTATGTAGGAGATGTTTTGATACATTAATGCTAGCGCTTGTATTTTTAGGGTAATTAGCTGACATACAGGAGGAAGGGTATGTTGGTGAGGCTACTAATTATGGTGTCTTTTAATAAATGGTACAGAGAAGTATTTTTGGGTGGTTCAGGGAAAGATTGAGTATGTGTATGTACAGGAGTATAGAATACAGGTGCACATAGTACAGAAAACAAGCACAGTATATTTTAGGTAGCACTGTACGTTACAGACCTGTGCAGGTACTAAAACAAAAAAAAAGAAACCTGTCTGTGACACACAGACTTTGGCATGGTGATAGAACAAGTTCTGCCCAGGTGTCTTATTTGTCCTTCTGAGCAGCACATGTTATTGAAGCAGCACTGTTTGAGGGAAAGCTGGTGTAGGCTCCTGTGGTCATACCCAGTTTCATAAATAGGACACCTGTCTTGTATTCTCATCTTTTAGGTATGAAGTAAGGCAGAGTTTTTCTGCTGTGCACCTTTTATGATTGAGATACAAGCTGAGAGAACAGAGCAGAACACTTAATGAAAACTTGGGGTGAGCAGGAGGGATGTTACCAGTCGTTTTCCTACAGTCATCCTCGAGTTGTTTGTCCTCTGACTTAAATAGCTTGAAGATGATATGCTTATTCAGAAATGTCAGCATCTTGTAATAGCTGGTTTCACAGCTAGCTAGGTAGGTATTTTTTAATGGTAGTGTTTTGAATTTTGCTAAATAATTTCGTGGTCTTATGAAGCTGCCCATTATCTTTTATCTTGCAATGTACTGTTTTTGCTCTCTTCCTAGCATATAATAATCTGATTCTGGTCTGTCAGATTATGAGGCAGCTGTGGTTGAAGCTGGCTGGAAGCTGAGAGAGCATGGTAACAGCTAGAAAAGGTAGTGGCGATTTCAGTAGAAGGTCTTTGCTGGGGTAGTTTTGTTTTTACTCAGTCAGTACTGAATCAGCACTATTATACAATGTGCTGTGGGAAGTGCTCTGTTCTGGCTGGAATGTTAAACTGAGGAGTGCACTAGTCTGATGAGCACACATTTGGAAAGATAAGAGGTAAGAGTTGGGGTGGTTCTGACCATTGCCTCAGTAGGGAGGAGAAAGTTCAGTGAAACTAACAGGATTTGGTACTTAAGGTTCTCAGTATGATGTTTATGTTTATTACTGCTGTATTCAACTTGAAGCTTGATAAAGACCAAGTCTAAAACTACCTGTAGTTAAAGTGTTTTAAGAATAGCATTGAGAGTAAGAAGGCTGTTTAGACTTCTGATTAATGTTTTTAATATCTAAAGTGGCAGCTAATGTAGAAAATTCTTTGTTAGTCATAATTGGGGAATCATCTGGCTCTTAGTGTCTGTGGCCCCTGTCAGGCAATAGCAGACTTGTGTTGGTTAAAATGAAAACCAAACACTTTCTAGGTTAAATAAATTAGAATTTTAATATGTTGTGCCACTGCTGTCAGATTTGCTGGAACTTACAGACTGCAACTTGATAGGTAGAGTTCAACTAAGAGTTGTTGTTTCTTATTTTTCAGTATGTTATCAGATTATTCCAGCTGCAGGCAGAATCACTTCTTGAAATACAGTATTCAAGCCTGTGGTCAGCAATTTTTATTTGTATTTAAGATAAGAAAATTGGATATTATTACAAAACCTGTCTACTGCCACACTGAGCTTTGAGTTTGCAGGGAGCATACTTTGTCAGTCAGCTTGGATTTGTTCCATGATCACTGGAAAACCAAAAGAAAGTTGATAAGTTCTGTATTTTTTCCCCCCATCTTTATAATTTTCAAATACACTGGAGAGGTGCAGGACACTTGTACACAAACCTTTGTCTTCAATTCAGTATCCTGATAGGTTATTTCTACCTTCTGTGTTAGGCTTGGGAGAATAAGTTTGAAATTCTAAAAATCCTTGTGGGGTATTTTTTTGACAAAGGGTAGAGAACACTCAGAGTTCAGAAATTATTATTGTCAGTAAAAAATTGAACTGACACTTAATTTGACTTCAACAAAAAGCTCTGCTGAATTAATGAGCTGGTGGTGGTGTTCACTTTGTGAAACTTCCAGATGCTTTAGAATATGCATGTGAACTGCCAGCTTTGAATTGACAAGTGCTTACACTACTATGCTGGTTTGCTGGTAGAGGTGGGCATTTCGTGACTTACTGGTCACATGGATGTCCCTGACAACAGTTGTTCGGTTTTTTCCCCAGAAACAGCAGAATTTTCTCAGATGAAAAGCACTGAAAATTTTCCAGTTGTCTAAATTTGAAGCAGTGCTGCTCAGGAACGTTGTGTTGTTGATGGTGTTCTGGTACTTCAGTAGCCAGTGTACCTGTGGTGAGGATAAGATGTTTTTTGTTTAGTTTCTTGTGCTCTGGTGGTGATTAAATTGACTTTTTTTTTTTTTGTGGCTTTCATGCTTTGGATTCTTTCCAACCATCCTGCTCGTACTTCTATTTGGCAGAGCTGCCTATTGCTGTGCAGTGAACTAGGTTGAGGAACTGATCTGGCTGTAAATTGTGTTAGAACAAGTTGCACAAATGTTGCTGCTAGCACAAAGGAGGTTGGTATGAAAGAGGGGAATGAAATGATCGCAAGAGCTGCTTGGGCACTGCTGCTGTTCAATGTGTAACCACAGCTGCAGCCAGTCAGGCCTTCTCAGCTGCTCTTGGAGCTGCTGGCAATTTCGTGCTCTGCTTTCAAAAAGAAACTCAGAAGTCTGTTTATGGGTTTCATAAAGTCTGGAAATACTGTGCCAAACCAGAAACTTAGAGTTTAGAGCAGTCTGTTTGTCAGACTCCTTAGGCACAAATACCTGAATCTGAAGTCCATGTTCTATGAGGTGGAAAAACTGCAAGTTTCAGCTCTTGTGTTGGTACTGCAGGTACTCTGGTATCATGTTGTGTGCAGAATACTCTGGTCTTTACTGTCTTCTCAATTTAATGTGACACAGTATCTCTGGATTCTGTATGAATCATGGTTTTTAGAGAACATCCGTGCCATGCCTTCAGCCATTGGGACATACAGAAAGGTTAAGTGAGCTGTGTTGTTTTCACATCTTGTCCTTTTTTGTAAAGCATCTGGTTTGTATAGCCTGACCCTAAATTTGGAGGAGGAAGCCTTTCCATTGCCAATGGAAAACCCACACTTTAAGACAAGGAAAAAAAAAGCATGTTACACCTCTAAAAAGTGAACAGTAAAAGGTTGGGATTGGTTATTTGTTAGAGCAATTCAATTACTGCATGACCTTTGTAGGCATTTGTCAAATATGTTGTCTGACATGATTGGAGAATAAAACTGCAGTGCATTTATATTTGTCCATAAATCATGTGCATCATTTCCACACTTGTAAAGAGATGTGCAATGTGGATCTTCCTTGGTAAGTTAAAACTTGCTCCTGAATGCCTGTACAGATTATTTGCAGTTAAAAAGCTTTCTGTCCTTTGTGAAAGATACTCTATGAATTCCATCTTCTCAGGAATGACTCTACCTTGAGATAAGGTCTGAAGCAAGGGACTTGCTTAAAGAACAGAGAACAGCAAAGCTGTTATGCATGAATGTTGCAAAAGAGATATATTTGTTTAATGATTTTTAAATAACTCTTTCAAGCATGCTGAACAAATTGGGAGCTGAAATATATCTCACAATATATTATTAGTGTTGGCTGCATTCCTTTGATGTTGGCTAATTCCTTTTGAAGAGGAAAACAGTCCATCTGTGCAGAATATAAAACCCAGTGCAAACTCATGGCTTTAAGAATTAGCACATTTTTTAATATGAAAATGTAAGATAATCTGAAATTAATTTGTGCTTAAACAGCATAACTGCATTGTAAACAAGCTCTGCTTTTAGAATTCCTTATGATTTTAAGGAAATTTACTTTCAGTTCACTGAAAATAAATCAATGAGAACGATCCCTTTACTTTGGCACTAAAGAGAGTTCAGCTCTGCTTAGCAGCTTTTAACTGTCTCTGCACGGTGTGTAGTGAGATTGCAAGTGGACAGCAGAGAATTCCCAACCACCTCCAAGTATTGTCCCGAGTCTCAGCCTCTGCAGTGGAACCAAATGACACACCCAACCAGACATCTCTTGACTTTCTCATCAGCCTTAAATTGTTTCTAGAAATTGAGACTGTTGTTGAGGTGGTTGAGAGGGGAATCTGGCAGCTGTTTGATAAGCTGTGGAGTGTTCTGTAGAGAACGTCAGGTGTTCTGCTCTAAAATACAAACATGTCACTGCAGTGTCAAACCAACTGGTGAGGTTTTGCTTTTTGGTTAAGGGAGTAAGCATTTTGCATTTTAGGAAGTCTTTCAAGAAAGTTCTGTTTAACTGAGCAGAAATAATGTATTGTTAACAATCCTAGGCAGTAGGACTCCAGATCTGAAGCCTGTTAATACTTCTTTGGATGATTTCATAGATGTGAATTTTACCATTTCAAAGACAGATGTGCTCCTGGTCCTGTTTATCATTCTTGTAACAACCAGTTTACTTCAGTTAAGAGCTAACAGTCATATTTGGTAGTGTGATTCAAGTAGTTTAAGTTCTTGCCCCATGTCACTGAAACAATGAATTTATGTGGATTTCTTTAGACTTCCTAACAGGTTATTTTTCTTTTTCTTTTTTTTTTTTTTTCATTTCACTTTTATTTGTCCATGCAAAAGAAAGGTGGAAGTTTTCATATTAAACACATTTGCTTGACTGTTTATTTCCACTTCCTCCATTTTTTGTTCCGAAGGTGGTCGGTGGTGCCATGGAAGAAGCTGGATCTCAGGAGATGGGAATGAATAACCAGGATCAGCTGGTGAAGAGCAAGTGCAATGAATTGTCTGATACAGCCTTGCAGCATGTGCAGTCCAACTGTTACGGCCTGGAAAACACAGGAGCATTGAAAGAAGCTGAATATATCACCAAGAACAGAAAGCACCCAGGGCCCACCTGCTGCTCCCAAGAGTCTCGTGAGGAGACTCCTGGGAGAGAAGAAGCTCGTACTGATCCACCCGATGGCCAGCAAGATCCAGAGAGTGAAAAACATAAAGAGAAAACTTTGGGTGTGTTCTCTTTGGCACTTTGATTTTTAAAAGGCCTTAATGTTTTCATAAAATAGCTATGCATTTGCTCTGTCTTTGTCTCACATTTACTCTGTAGCCAAAAACTTGTCATCTTTAACAGGATATTCTGAGAAACTGTGCACTTCTGCTTAGGAAAAGACAGTTCTTAATGCATATGTAAGAATCCTTCAGCTGGTAACGCTATTTTTACAGGAACTTTAATAATAATAATAACAACATGATAATTACTAATCAACTTTTTTAACTTTCTGGTTGTTGGATTAACTTTTAAGTCTGGGATTGCAGTGTTCAATGCTGCCAAAGCACTGCTGATAATTAAGTTCCAAATGCTTATTAAAAACACTTGTGTGAATATCCTTTATTAGCAAAACTTAACCTTTTAAATTTCACTCTTTCAGATTTTTCTTTTTATCTGTGCTATTATAAAAGAAAAATAATTTTGTGGTTTTAAGATGAAAGTAATTTTTACTACCTAAGTTGTTGATGGCACTTAAGGCAAGACGAAAGTAATTTTTACTACCTAAGTTGTTATTATTTATTCTTGCTGTGATGACTTCCCATTTGTCATCAGTTATCAAACCAGGGAACAACTTAACTCACACTAATTTCTCATGGTTTTGTATTTTGCTTCTAAAGACAGGCTGCTTTTCTGGTGTGTTGTTTTTTCCTCAGTATGGTTCTCTTTCATCCATTTCATAGGAAAAGAAGTTTTATTGTTAATGCAAGCCTTGAACACGCTTTCTACTCCAGAGGAAAAGCTGGCAGCTTTGTGCAAGAAGTATGCTGATCTGGTAAGTAATTTGTAAAGATAGCAGGAGTTATTCATGTGTTAACGTTAACTGTGGAATGCAAGAGAACTAAAACAGGACAGGTAATGATTTTGAATATTTTATAGTTTTTGTAAAAAAAAAAAAAAAAAAAAGATGCTCAGGCTGATGATGAGTGTTGCTTCAGCCAAACTTTCATGTAGTCATTTCATTTCTATGTGACAGCCTAAATCCAAAGAAAAAATAGGTTTTGATAGCTTGGTGTTGAAGCATAATGGTAGGATTAGCAGAAAAGCTAAGAGTTTCTTTTGGGAGTAATTATTTTCCTAGTTTTTGTCTCTTGATAATGCTTTTGTGCTAGTGTTTTATAATTCAGATCCTTGAGGATAAAGAAGAACATACTGTGATATAGAGATTTGGAGAAAAAAAATGTTCAGTTACATTTAACTCCTTAGCAATTTTTGGGGAATAGGGAAAGTTGGAAAGATCTAGGTTTAATTTTGCTCTGTGCTTTCTGATCATGCAAGGGAATGGATAGAAGAGTGTATATTTCTTCAATAACTAACCAAAAAGAAGCAATTAATAAAGCGCATTCTGACCTCAAGTAGAAGAAATTATCATTTATTTTCTAAATTAATTGGTCACAAAATTGAGAGAGTAGGGGGAAAGGCTTTTTAAAAGTTGACTTTTCAGAATGTTCCTGGAGACAAAACTCCTTGATTCATTCATGATGAGACAGGGACAGACAGGAACAGAACAACCGGAAATAGGTGTGTAGAAGTTTTCCCACTGTATTTGTAGTTATCAAATGAATGTGAACTAAAGAGATGATTGGACAGCTTGGCAAAAGCATAAGATTTTCTTTCTGTAAGTACCAAGTCTATCTCATGCAAATGTTTCTGACAATGACATAATGACTGCACAGTATCCTAGTATTTTAAGGGGCTGTAATGGACCTTAGAGCTCACTTAGTCCCAACCTTCCCTGCCAAAGGCAGGGACACCTCTGACTAGACTAGCATAACTTTTCTGAAATAAATTTATTTCCTTTGAGATTAGTAATGTCTCCAAGACTCTGCGGAACACCTAGTGGATGGTCTTTTTACTTAGAGAGGCAATATTAATTACTTAAGCATAGACTTACATTAGTTCTGTTAAGGAAATCATGAGTCCTCCTTGAAGGCCTATTATGTTTTTGCTTTGTTTTCCTTGCTCTCTCTGATTGTACACTCTTCATGTGAGTGAATTTCTTCAAAACCAGCAGCTTCTCTAAGAAGTCACTTTCATTTTAAATGAGAAACAGTAATAGTGCCATAGTGCAACTCAAGGATGGGGAGTCTACCTAAAAATGAATTGCAATTACCTTCAAGAAGGCAACAGGAAGAGACAGGTTTGCATTGGTTTTTGCCATCCCTGGAGAGGATGAGTAGTTGATAGGTAGAGTAAGCATTCACAGTCCATAGGTAGTTGCCATCCTAGAAAACCACTTGCTTTCCTCATGGTGCTCAGAACAGCTGGGAAGCTGGGTGGGAGCTTGTCTGGTTGTAAGAATAGCTCTGTTTCAGCTAAATGAGTCTTAGAGGTACTCCTGTTCCCCTCAAAATGTAGGTTGGATCTGGTTGTGTTCCTTTAAGGTGCGTTCTTTCCTTCATGGTAGTGGTGGTGAACCACTGGCATAGGTGTCAGCTGTAATGCCAGCAGAGGTTTGAACTGTTTATGACAGTGCACCTACAATGCTTTTTTTCTTTTTTTAAAGATTCATCATCTTTAAAGCTCACTGTCAGGTTTTTCAGTGGTGTCTCATGAAAAGGACTGTACAATAAAGGTAGGAATGCCTCTCTCCTGGCAAAAGATCTTCCACAATTTTTTTTCCTAATTTGGAAACTATCAGGAGAATCATCCTGTGGGGCAGGAAGGTTTGCATCCTTGGTGATATGTCTTACACTGGCACACTTTTACAGGTTTGAAGTTTCACAGGTATGCAGACAGCACAGCTACTTGAAAGTGTTTTTTTCTGGCCACACAAGACTTTTTATGTTTGGATGTGAAAATATTCCTTTAACATTATTTTTCCCTAAACTAGATTAAATATACATTTAATTTACTGTTGTCATGGAGGTCCTTAACGTTATTTATTCTTTCTTCTATGCTTCAACATTATTTTGAGCTCTTTCAGAAAACCAGCCTTGTATTCTTCTGTCATGGTGATAGTCTTCACTGCCAGCCTTCTTTTCCTGCTGTGTCCCAAGGCTGAGGCAGTGTCTAATACCGAGCAGTGTTACACTTAACATTGTTACCTTCTTTACAAGAACAGATTCTAAGTAATATGGTTTCTCAGGGAGCCCAAAAATCATGTACCATGTAACTTATTCTCAACAAGATATTAATGTAGGAAGCTTCTATTCACAGGATACTCAATGAATAGATTTTGCAATATGTGTACGAAGTTTAACTGTGTCATCTACCACCTAAACTGCCTAGAGGAAATAGCACAAAAATTTTGCTTCAAATGGTTTGAGACTGCAGGTCTCTTAAGTCATCACAGCCTGGGCTTTGTAGCTTTAATAGTATTTGACTTGATTTGTCAGTGCTGCTGGTTGTGTGTGTTCCTTTCTGAAATACCACAGCGTTTTACAAACTTGTATCATTTACTGCTTCCCTTGGTAGGAGCTGCTAACAAGAGGGAACTCTGTACACAGTTCTGTGGGTTTTTCTTTTTGATAGTAAAAACAAGACCTGTTGGATAAACAGCTGTATGTAGCTTACAGATAAGAGTGGGAGAAGTTGTGACTTGTTGAAAAGCCAGTCTCAGCTAGCTCCTAATTGTATCTGCTGTGTCCTCCTTTCTCCATGCTAGTCCTAGCCCTGCAGCTGAGTGCAAGCTGATTGCTCATGGTCAACAGCAGGTCCATATGGTGCCTGTTCCTCAAAGGCAAATGTTTCTTAAGTTGGAATTCGTATATTTTCATCTTCTGTCCATACACATTTAGAGTTGTCTGTAGGATGATGGTAGTTTCTCTTTAAGATCAACTTGCAGTCTTAATGAAATTTAACTTCCTTGTTTTCATCCAAAATGTTTAAAAGTTTCTTCAGTCTGTTCATCTAGATGCATAGAAGTGGTTTCACCAATGTTTATTTAATAAATTTACTCTCTAATGTTAGTTGGAGGAGAGCCGGAATGTTCAAAAGCAGATGAAGATCCTGCAGAAGAAGCAAGCACAAGTTGTGAAGGAGAAAGTCCATTTGCAGAGTGAACATAGCAAGGCCATTCTGGCACGTAGCAAACTGGAATCTCTCTGTCGGGAGCTGCAGCGTCATAACAAGACTTTGAAGGTTAGTTTCTTCAATAAGTTACAGTGCTGCTGCTGCTGGGAATCTTACTGATCACTGCTTAAAATCAAGACTGCTGCTTTTACTTGCCACAAGTGGCATGTGGCCTAAGTGTACCTGGTTTTAGGGTAAAAAATATGGGGATAGTTAGCTCACTGATTTCTTTTCCTCCCTCAAAGTAGTTCATATTATATTTGCAGTATTTGATCTTGTCATATTTGTTTCTGGGAACAGTGCTGATGACTGCTGGAAAAAATAGCACAAGTGAAATAATAGCAGCATGAAATGGCAGGGTATCAAAAAAAGGCTTAATTCTGTCAGAATGTAATGGATGGGAGCGAAATGGAAGAGAGCCAAGAGATTCTTATCTGTGATCGCTGTAGGACATTTATTATAGTATCAGTGTTGTTTTTTACATCTGGACAATTCTGACACTTGCAGAGGTGTTTATGTAGTATCTTAATACCAGCCTCTGAGTAATGTTGGTAATGGTAGGAACAAGATCCTCTAGTGGTTTTGGGATTTCCAGATTCTTTGTTCCATGCACTTCACATGGGTAGTCAGCATAGCATATGATGATTGTGGCTTATATTAGTTCTAGCACTCTAGAACTTGAAACTGCACAGAAGTCAATTATTACCATGGTTTCTGACTCAAAGATATAAAAATGGTCCTTGGTTTGACGTGAACATTTTGATATTCTCTCATAAAAGGAAGAAAACATTCAGCAAGCACGTGAAGAAGAAGAAAGACGAAAAGAAGCAACTGCACACTTCCAGATTACTCTGAATGAAATTCAGGCTCAACTGGAACAGCATGATGTACACAATGCCAAGCTCCGTCAGGAAAATATTGAGCTGGGGGAGAAACTGAAGAAACTCATTGAGCAGTATGCACTGAGAGAAGAGGTGCTTACATTATGCTTCTAATGGGATTCTCTTAGTTCCTTGACTGTAAGGATTAGATAATGATTGAAAGGGGAGCAGAACCCCTCATGCTTGTATGTACATTGTTTTAATTACTCTTTTTACATCACTACTGTGAAAAATTGAGTAGCTGTTTGGCCCACTGTCTGCCTTTCCTGCCTGGTTTGGCATATCTAAATTCATCATGCACTGGAAAAAATCACAGCAGAAGTGGTCAAATAGAAATTAAGTTGTCCAGAGTTTGTGGAATCTCAGTCTTTAGAGGCATTTAGAACTCAGCTGGGCAAGATGTGAGCAATTTGAGCAGACTTTGAAGTTGAGCCTGGTTTGAGTGGACTAAGTGGCTTCCAAAGGTTATTTCCCACTCAAATATGTATTAACAGTTGAAGTTCCTGAAAAGTTACATCACATTATAACAGGAGGGGGTGTAGGAGTTCTTCTCTCATTTCTTTTGGTTCTTTAAGGTTGGTGTCTTTCTGGGAAGCTCCTTTGTGTACATAGCTGCTCTTGTTGGCATAGAATCCGAAGTAAGCAATTGCACTTTAGGAATGTATTTGGCCTGGTGTCCTGGAAATGTCTGTGCTGTAGGGCTAACTGAGCTGGCTTTAGTTGGCACCAGGATGTGAGCTAGCTGCTCTCAGCTACAGCGGTGGAAAACAGCCAGTTCTCCTTTGTTCAGGAGAGAATTGAGCTGCAAGGAGTTCTACAACTAAGATTAGTTGGTTGGTTCTTGGTTGGCACAGATTGGGAGTATAATTTTGCAATTGTCAGTGGGGGGGTTGGTTTTGTTTGTTTTGGTGTTTTGCTTTGTTTTAAGTCTGGATCAGTTAGAAAACTCTGTAGGCTAGTTTCCCACCTTTTGCCATCATGGAATATTTGTATCTACCACGAGACAACATAGGAAGGGAAGAGGTAGGAAACCACCTTGTACTACTTTACAGATGGAAGTAAGACTGCAGACTTCAATGACATGTGGAATTTCATCAGCTAAATTAACTGTTACTGCAAACTTTGCTCATTTCGAGGTTTGTTGGTTTTTTACTTATGAGGACTAGAGCTTTTAGGAGTAATAATGTGTGCAGTAAGGATTAGTGGTGGATAAACCAACTTTACAGATGTAGGCTGCTTTCTACAGGATTTTTGAAATGTCTGGTGTGAAGTGACTGACAGTATTGTACCAGTTTAATAAAACAGACACTTGGCTTCCATGAAAGACAAAAATGTAGTTGCAATGTATGGAGATAAAGGGAGAAAAAAAGTAATGTAAAACAGCCTTTTGCAGCTTTTTCTTTCCCATGAAGCTTCTAAACAATATCCATCTCCCCAAACACTCCTTACCTTCACTGACCAGCACATTGTCTGTATTTGACTAATTTTCTTTTTTCCTTTAGCATATTGATCAAGTGTTCAAGCATAAGGAACTGCAGCAGCAACTTGTGGATGCCAAACTTCAGCAAACTACCCAACTTATTAAAGAAGCAGAGGAAAAACATCAGCGAGAACGAGAGTTTGTAAGTGAATTCTACATATGTTAAGAGAATTAAAACCCACCAAACTAGACTTCTCATGATTTAAAGCATATACAGCAAATTGAGAGGACTGTCTTTTGAAAGTTAGGATAGATTTCAGCAGTGAGACTGAGGTTTAAGCTTTGTGTATGATGCCTAGAATATTAATATCCATATGAATAGACAAGTAATGTTACTCTTTGCATCTTCTTAGCACCAAAGGTACCTCTGTTTTTATGCCATAAGAAATAACAAATGCAGAGCATAGCATATGCTCTGCTGAACTGTCTGCCCCCAAAAACTGTGCTTGGTGTTTTATTTGTATGTTGATAATCAGCAGTTTACTTGCAGTCTTCTAAGAAGTGTGCTTCCAATTAAAAAATAACACATTTTTTAGTGCTCCTTATGTATCTGTAACTTTTAGGCAAAAGCCTTGCTCTCTCTGTATAATCTTAAAATGAGCATCCAGTGTTGGATTGTTCTGTATTTCTTGAACATAATTTTTTGAGTCGTAAGCTGGTGAAAATATCTTTGAAGATGTACCTACAAAATGGTGTCAAGTTGAAGCAAAATTGGTTTGAACTAATCCATAAAGGTAATATTCAGGACTGAAGAAATGAAAGTGGAAAATAAATTAGAGAGGTTACAAAACAGTTATAAATTACATGCAGTTTGTTAATGAACTGTTCATAAATTTAGCAGTTCAAACTTGCTGCAGAAATAGAAAAACTGACTCATGCTACCAATTAGAAAAATGTCTCAATAAAAATCTCTGCATGCCAACACTTGCTTCAGATTGTGTATAGGAAAGTATAGTATAGTAATAAAAAAGCCTATTTGAGAAAAGGTGGTTCAGTAGCCCCTAGGTAATGTTAATATTTGTTCATTTTTCATTGTAGATCAAGTTAAGCCATTTTTTAGGAGTGCTGTTTTCATTATGTGGCTTTTGGCATTGTTTTTTAGCTGTTAAAAGAAGCTACAGAGTCCAGGCACAAATGTGAACAGATGAAGCAACAGGAAGCTCAGCTGAAGCAGCAGGTATCTTTTTTTTTTTTTTTAGTGGAGAGATCTCTCTGAAGAGAAAAGAGTTTTGTGACTGTAGTGAACATAATGCAACATGTGAAAAAACTTTACATTCACCAGATGCTTGAAAAGTACTTGGTATTTTTTTAATTGTCTTAAATTTAGTTTTCAGTAGGTAACCTCTTCAGTAGTGAAGCATGAAGTATAAATTGTAAGGACTTGATGTGTTGTACTTGCTGTTTAATACATTTGGAGAGTACTGTTAGTGGAAGGTGCTAAACACTGAATTCCTGGAGTTAGTATCCTTTCAAATCAATAGTGTTAATATTTCAGATTAGGTATATGAAAGCTTAAGGAAGCTTGGCTTCACTGAAACTGATGTTCTCTCTTCCAAAGGTATTTTTCTCTTTTAATGTAGCTGTTCAGAACCAGAGAGGTCCTTGTGACTATAGAGCTGGGTGGGCATTTTTGCCTAGGCAGGTTTTAGAATCTGTTTTACTGTTTCCATCTCATCCTGTGATGGAGGATTGGGAGCAAGCCATGTTGTGTTTATCCCTGTAGTTATTCAGAATTAGTAACCTGAGTGTCCTTGTCCACAAAAAAACCCCTGCTATCTTCAGGTTATTTTCTTGCTGTAATGCAAATGCCACAGCGAATCCTCTGAGAGAGGAGAGATGGTGTCCAGTTTTTGTGCCTTGGTTCTGGATCACTTGCAGCTATTGACCACATGTGAGCTCAGCACATGAGGCACAGGGAAATGGTAGGTTCAGCCAACATCTTAGCACCTGAGAAGCAGCAGCTGTTGTTTATTATATGCCTCTTACTGCTTCAGTATTGTGAGGTTTTGTATGGAGTCTCTGCCCTGGTGTCAGCTGGGATAGAGTTGGTTTCTTCTCGGGAGATGGCAGAGTGCTGTGTTTTGGATTCTCTGCAAGAATAACCTTGATAGCACACTGATGTTTTGACTATTGCTTAGTCATGTTTATCCTAAGTCAAGGACTTCTTCGTGTCTCATGTCTTCTTCTAATGAGGAGGTACACAAAAAAAAAACCAAAACCCAAAACTGTGAAGCAGCATAGCCAGGACAGGTGACCCACACTAGCCAAAGAGATATTCCACACCACAGACCATCATGCCCAGTATATAAACTGGGGCAGTTACCTGGAGAAGGGAGCTGATCAGGGTTTGGGGTTGGGGTCTGACATTGAGCAGCAACTGTATTGTGCATCACTTGCGTTTTTCCTTTTTATTATCATGCATCATTATATTTTACTTGGTTTAAATTATTAAACTGTTCTTACCTCAGCCTACAAGTTTTTTCTCTTCCCCATTCTGCTGGAGTGGGGGGTGAGGGAGTAGCTGTGTGGTGCTTAAGTTGCCAGCTGAGCTTGAACTACCACAGTCTCCTTGAAACCTCTGTTTCATGCCCTTTTTTCACACTTACTGTATCTGATTCTTCTCTAGGCTTTCCCAGTTACGTGTACAGCGTCTGTGAATGTGTGTAGTTAAATGTAATCATGCACATCTCCATTGGACTTGAACTCATGAATATCCTGTTACTTCCAAAGAGGGTTTTTTCCATGCTTAGTCTTTTCTAGTTTTTTCCAAGTTGCTTACCCTTTATTTAAAACCTCACTGCCTTTTTGTTGTGCTTTTGGATACTTACAATGAGTACAGTTTGTGGTTTCCTGGGGCTGACAGATATTTTTGTAGACTAAGATGAGCTAGAGAGTTCAGTGACAATAATGGCAGAGAGTCATGATGTGCTGCTGACAAGCTGGGCTAACTCCTGTTATGAAATGTCCTTTACTAATAGAGCAAAATACAATATTTCTGTGCTCTGAATTATAGTGTCCTGCAGCCCCCAATGTAAGAATTGAGGAAACTGATTACTTTTCAGTGGGAATAAGAAGTTACTAGTAAAATGGTCATGTAATTTTAGAACATCAAATCACACATCAAGTCGTTTTAATAAAAAAAGTTATGGTTCTTAAACTATTTTATTCAATATATTTTGTAGTTCTTTCTTGGTGATTGTCTGTGTGGTACAGGGCGAGAATTTTCTGTCATTAGACAGATGCTCTTCACTGTTAATTTCTTGTCAATATTCACTTTCCATGATTTTTGTTCTCTGGGCAGATAAGTTAATTTCTTGTCAATATTCACTTTCCATGATTTTTGCTCGCTGGGCACATTTCATTGGTTGTGAATGTGTATTTTGATTTCTAGAATCAATCGTGTCTTTTGTGCCAGCCCTTATTAGCATTGGCTGGTTAAGGTGGAAAGGTAGGCATTTCCTGAGTTTTCATTTCACTAACCATGTGCTGAATTTCCTGTATATATGTATGTCTACACATTTATTTTCTTCCACTGGAGAAGTAAAAATGAGGCAATGATGAACTGTGGTATCTTCAAACTTTTTATTAAACATAATATTCTTTTGACTTCAGAATATATTGTTCTATAAACATAGAACTCTGCTTCACATATAATTTGAATGGCATGTTTTCAGACAACTTCTGCACGTTCCTCAAATGCAAGTTGTAGGATGGTTAAAACAAAGATAAAGAAGTTCATGTTCTACTGTTTTGAGTTTCATTTTGCCTTGTACCTAAGTATTCTTGTATTTGTAGATGACTGTTCAGATTAATGTTCTGCCTCTTTTCCAACAGCTTTCTCTTTACATGGATAAGTTTGAAGAATTCCAGACCACCATGGCAAAAAGTAATGAGCTCTTTACAACCTTCAGGCAAGAAATGGAGAAGGTACTTATAGGATTACTTAGTTTCTAAAAAGTAATACAGAAATGCATTTTAGATTTTACCGTGTTTGCCTTCTGAAAACAGATGGAGTATTTTGACCTTTAATTTGGATCATAACATAGAGCATAAGAATTAGTTGTATTATAGAGGAGAAATGTAACTTGTTCTGGTTTTTTTTACATGCTTACATAATACCTAAATCCTAATATCAATGTTCTACCAAATAATACTTCTCATTCTGTTTGGCTGTGCCCATGTTTTAAAACTTCTTTTTCTGGAGCTTTTTATTGTTTGTCCTTGAAGGTTCCTAGTCTTGTTTTTTTTGAAGATTCAATCTTGTTTTCTTTGAATGCAGAATCTCTACTTGTGGGGTTGATTTTGTGCAGAAACACTTTTCTAAAATAACTTGTTCAAACTGGACTTGGAAAGTAATGCTAAGAAGTCGAATTACTCATGTAAAACCACCTACATTGCAACACAAGCCACAAAATTAAATCATTTATCTTTTGTAGATGACAAAGAAGATTAAGAAACTGGAAAAGGAAACCATTGTGTGGCGTACAAAATGGGAAAATAACAACAAGGCTCTTCTGCAAATGGCTGAAGAGGTAATTGCCTTTAGTTGAGCCAAACTGCTACGTAAGAGTCTGTGTCCTGGAGAAATTCTTACAGATTTTCAGTCATATAGAACTGGAGATAATACACAGTAGCCTCTTCCAGGGTTGTCTGCCTTATGTTTTCAGTTGGGTAAGGTATTGTTTTCCTCAGACAAGGAAAATGGAAGGCTGCTGTATAAATCTAAAGTGCGGGGACAAGAAAAACTCAGCCTCATCTTTGCTTACTGTTTAGTTGGTGGGATAATGTGTATGAAATCATATGAGCTGAATGAATTGACTGTATTTTAATATGCTGAGCATGCTGAGCAAAGTCCAGTCAGTGCTGCAAGAGAAATCTATTTTAATGGGCAAAACTGGTCTGAAGGAAATAACCCATGTGTAAGGGATCAGTTACTTTGTGTTGCTGCTGCCTCTGAGGTCATGAGGTGCCATTACTTAATTGTAGTCCAGCAAGAGCAGAGCTGTACAGTTCTGCCTGTGCTGTCTAAGCCTAGTGCAGGTACGTGAGGTGTGACCTTGCCAGATGGTGCAGGTTCTGCTATGGCACTGGTTACCTTTCTGTTCTCATAAGGAGCTAGTTAGGAGAGCCAGGAATATGGAGCCTTCTGACCTGGATTTTGCTGCTGGATTGTGGATTTACTACTTCTAAGCCCTTCTCCTCCCTGTAGTTCCCATTATTTGGGTTGCAGTTGACTGCTTTATGGGATTTCATATCAGGGTCCTCACTGATGACCAGCCCTCACTTACAATGAGCATTATGTAGTTATGTAGTTCTCACTGCTAGTTTTTAAAGTGTCCTGTTGCTGCTTCAGCTCAGACAAAGTGGTGTTAGGTCAAGTATTCTGTGGAAATTCGTTCTAGTGCAGTTGGAATTTGACCTACTGGATTAATTAAGACTTCCTATTCAGGATTAAATAGTGGTGATTCTTTTAATTAATTTAGGGGGGAAAATGGTTGTATCACAAAGCTTTTGTTTCCTTTGTCCTTCAGAAAACAGTAAGAGATAAAGAATACAAAGGCTTTCAAATAAAACTGGAGCGTTTGGAGAAGCTATGCAGGGCCCTTCAGACGGAAAGGAATGAGCTGAACGAGAAGGTGGAAGTGCTCAAGGAGCAGGTTTCTCTTAGAGAAGCAGATGTGGATCTGGCTGTGCAGGTGTTGGAGTCCTGCACACTCAATTCCCACGAGGAGCTGGGAACTCCCACTGACACAGAACCAGGAATCCAACCCAGTGTGGAATCACGTGTGGCAAATAGCTCCGAAAAGACTGTCTCAACAAGTCCTGTTCCTGGCACTGAATCTGTAGACTAAAATGAAGTGTAAACACTGTATTGAGAGATATATTTTGTGTATAACTTTCTCTGTTGGTGGTAACTATTTGGTTTTGTGGTGAAAATTTTCTTACTTTTTCTACCATATCTGTATTTTCTTAGAACTACTGGACTTATGTGGTACAGGAAGCTGCATAGCAGCTTTAAATAGCTTAAACTATAAATTTTCCACAACTGTGTTGCACATCTGCCTCATTTTTTAAAAGAAAATATTTTTCCATAAAAGGATGCATGTGCGTTCCCTCCCCACAACACAAATCACTGTCATGGAAGACTGTACAGATAGAACATCGTTTGGGGAAAATGGTGACAGCAGGTCACTTCTTTGTTTTAATGAACAGCATTCTGGTTTTGTTTATTGATTTGCCACTCAGTATACTAAAGATTATCAATTTTTCCAGTAAATTTATCTACATAAGGGTGTCTAATGGCCAGTAAAAAATGTCAGCTTTCCCCCCAGTATGTTTTCATATATACGAATGAAAAAGCAAAGGTCCAGAATATAGTAAAAGATATGTTTAAAGGGTTTTATGTACTTTGTGGTATGAAAAAACAGCTTTGAAATACATTCATTTGCAGCTGGTGAAACAGGGTGTACAGCTTTTTGCAGACTTCTCAGGGTTGTGTTGTAAAGGTTAGTTTGGACTGTTTGCCCTACCTGTGAACATGTTAAATATAAACGTGTGACAATGCGTACGGTGACGTTACTGAGTGGGATTTTGCAGTGGTGGAGCCTATTGCACAAGTGCTGGTTGTGGTCTTCCCTCTTAGCTGCAGTGTGTGCATCACATGGTGATCCTGACTAGAGAAATACATTACTGTCTAAGCGAATCTCTGGATGATCTGAAGGGCTGGAAAATAGACATTTATTGCTGGAGGTGTGGAAGACACAAGTCTGGCATAAGGCTTTCTCCAGTAGCCAGGTATGCAACGTGGTTAAGTGTATACTGGTTATAGTTGAACATGAAGTTTCAAATACTTTTCCTGAAGTACAACATGGAATTTCTTGCACATTCAACCTCAAAGCTGTACCAGTTGGCAGAGTGCCTTTCCAGTTAGGTTATCTGGTAAAGATGGTACTTCACATTCTTACACTAACATACCACAAGCAAAGCTCCCTTGTTAACCTTGAACTATCCTAGAAAATTTGGTAGCCACATTTTGACTGCTTTACCTGAAAGAAACTAGGACCAATGTTTATTTTTGGCAAGGCAACGTGGTAAAACTACAAGCTCCCCTGAACTTTAGTTCCCATGTATTTACTTCCTAGTTTTGGTGGTTGTAATTTTAAGAAATACAAACATGTGTAGCCTTTTCTGGTACTTAGAGTTCTTTGCACTTGTTTGGGAGGGGATTCCTGAGTCAAGCACATCTCAACGAGCTTCCCATCCCCATTGCCCTTGACAGTTCAGTGGCTAAATTACTTGAATGTTCAGGCTGCACTGAGCTCCTGATCCTTTTCCTGTAGTAATGTACATTGGAATAATGTAGCTGTCTTTGAAAAGAGAGTGAGATAATGTAAGGCCTAATAAATGTGTTTAGCTCATACCACTAAGAGGAACTGTGCAAAACTGACATTTCTGAAATGGTGGAGTAAATGGGAAGCTGGCCATCTTTCTCCTAGGTTTGTGGGGGTTTGGTGTTTCTGGTCCAAGCACAATGCAGGAATGAAAAGAAGGTAGCAATGAGCAGTCAGTCAGGTTAGACTCAGAGCTTTGAAATGTTGATCATGACAACCATATGGCATCAAAAATACTGGAAAGAAGTATTTAAGACTTGCTGTTCAAATTACTTGCTTTGTAGAACCAAACTTGAAAAAACAGTTCTGAGAACTGCTTTTCAGCTAACACTAAGCAGGAAGTAATTTTTCTGAGGAAAAGTGTAAAACTTTGTATCTGATGCATCATACCCTTGGCAAGGTAGGACATGCAGTTTTCTATTTTTACAATTTATTATTTGGACATTTGTACCCTGAACAATTCTTTCTATAGTGCTTGTTCTATATGGAGGCAAGAGTGAATTTTTGGACCCTGCTGCAAGAATATTTTTAAGGGCTTTTAGAGAGGTGACAATACAAATGTATTTGTTACTGAGTGAACATGTAAGTGAAGCAGAATGTCCCAAGTGAAAGGTTTTTAAAATGAGGATGTCTTGTCTCTTTCCTACCCTCAACATACCCATATCATAGCAACTTACATGGCCAAGGCAAGCTGTACTTTGCTTCCTGAAACCAGTCAACAGAGTTTCATGCATTGCTTAAAAAGTGTTGTGTAAAAAACGAGACCCACAAAGTGATGCAAGAAGTAAGCTCAGCACTCACTGATCTGCCATACCGCAGGCTATTGCACTGCCAGGCTGCAGCCACGGGGCTCCAGTAGGGATTTTAAGTAAACTTGTATTACTGCCTTTCTCCCACTACTACAGACTGTTGAACCTGGGATGTAAACTGATGTAGCCTGAGATGTGTCTAACTGTCAGAACTCTGGGGCCTGATCGACAGTTTCACCATGATTAAGCTGCAAAAAGCTAAATTGTATGCGATTCGAGACCCAAATGTTTGTATATGTACACAAGTAAGTTAGGGCTGTATCTCTAATGTTTTGTCCTTCCTTTCATTACACCTGGTTACGTTACAGTTCAATTCTCAGGTGTTGCAGAAAATCTACCTCTTTGGACTGTAGATGGAAATAACTGTGAAAAAAGTGATGCAGAAATCTAGTTTGTGCTAAACACACTGCTTTATTTTTACAACCCATGTCTGCTTTCATGAGGAAAATGATAAATGAACAGGCAGTCTTTGTTTTGCTTTTCAAAAACATTTTGTAGAGATTTTTCACTAATGTGAATCTGAAATTTTATCTACTCGATTCTGTATAGATTAAGTAAATAAGTATGCTTAATATATTGGACTCTGAGTTTTTCTTTGACATCATATTCATGTCTTTTAACTGGATCTGCTGAAACTGTATTTATTTGAAAAGTCAAGAGTGAAAATTAAAAGATGTGAAATTTAGAGTTCCAAGCGTATTGTTCGTGTGAGCTGCCCCGAGCAGGGGCTGGGACAGGTTGTGTCGGACACTTCCTGGTGGTACCTGACCTTACTCTGGGTGTCCTGGGGTCAGTGTCAGTCAGGCCACAGAGGGCAGGAGCTCTGGCTGAGCCTCTGCCTGCCTGCTCTTGAGTTCTGCTCATGCTTTCTGTCTCCAAAAAATTTATCCATCTTAGTTCAGCTGGGTCCAGTGTGAAAAATACGAGGGTTATGTTAAAAATCAGGTTTTCTAGTAACTTCATTAAGTGCTTTCCATTCTGTTAGCCTGTGTGGGGTCATTTGTTACTAATGTACACTCCCTCCCAGTCTCCTAATGCTGAAAAGTGTTTTGCTTGTCTTCTTTGGCATAATCCCTAACATTTGGGGTGGTGGATTCACCATCCCTGGAGGTTTTCAAGATGAGACTGAATGTGGTACTTAGTGCCATGGTCTAGTAACAACAGTAGGGTTGGACTCGATGATC